CCGGGAATGAAGCATACTGGAGATATCTGAATAAAGTGACAGTAGATGAACGACGGTGGTGTTCGAGGGTGTGGCTGTTTCCTACTTGGTGAGCGTCTTTCTTCAAAAAACGGCACAAGTCTACCGGTGATTTTGTAACATCGAGAATGTGACCGGACATCAATAAGTTTATCAGTCTACTGAACTGAATGTTCCAGAGAAAGCAGATGGTCTTTCATCGGGGTTGTCTGGAACAACATCCATTGCAGATTGTTCGGAAATGTGCAATTTCGAATAAAGGTTGTTGGTAATTCTAGTCCTGAGAGCCTATATATATATATATATATCCTTGTAATACATGGTTTCGGTTTGGATCAAGATGATCGTGTAAAAATACATATGTAGGTAAGTGACATTCTAGTGGCAAACGAATAGTCGACTTTCCAAGAATTGTTTCATCTTTATATGAGCCCGATGCTAACCACCCATGGGATGATCTGATCTCAGTTTGCAATAATTCCAGTTCATCATACCACGTATTTCCCTTATNNNCCTTATTGTTTGAGGAGAGGGGGGGTCGCTCTCTTCTGATCAACCGAATTTCACTCAGTGTTCCTCAGCGATAGAGAAAAATGCATTACCTATTTCAAGCCAGACTAACGCTGGAGAGAGCATTAAAGAGATCTAGCTTGATGTGTTTAGTCGAGCATTTTATGCGAAGTGATGCATCACAATGCGGCCTATTGTTGATTTTATCTTCATCAATGGATAATTCTGAATAATGTTAGAGGAATCCAGAGTTTCACTATTGTTGATCTTCAGTGAGAGCACCACTGGAGTTTACCATTTCTTTGGTGAAGCATTGACTGACTAAAGCAATCATTGTGAGTTAAAAGAAAAAAATTGACAAAGAAAACATGACACAAGGAAACTGTAAACTCCCTCTCTCTCTCTCTCTGAATATATATATGACTTCATTAGTTCAATTTACCTGGCCAAGAACTCGGTCAAATTATACGAAATCCCATTCGACGTGGTCGGTGCCGTGTCGAGCACACAAATGGAACTGTTGATTGCCCGAGTACCCGGTTCACAAGACAAACAAGCCTCGGACACCGATCTGGCCTCCGTGGGATCCGCGATCACAATGCTACCCGAAGGACATTTGGTACAGTTGATCACCGCCTGATGTGTTGCGGTGTTTATCACTTCCTGATAGAACAGACCTACAGGGCACCGGATACATCTGCAGAATGAAAGATGTGTGTGCATCGTGAAATGTGTGAATTGAGCATAATATTCATAATTGTTTGAGCCAATCGATAAAGTGGTATGCTGGTATTCAGCGCTATGCACTGATTAAATGCAACGTGAAATACGCATAGAAACCATTGATTATTGTTGAACTTGATGTTTAAAACGTTGGTTCTTTGTGGAAATAAATGATTGATCAAAAGTGACCGAGATGAGTAAGCAACAGGAAGCTAATTTGTTCACGTGATTCGACAAACACAACAAATGAGTCGCACCTTAACTGGTAGGATAATATGTGCTGTACAAAAGCGTGGGCAATATCCAAGCAGGGGTTCGAATCTAATCAAAGGGACTGATCTGTGCATGATTTAAACACTATTCCATTGTCCTCAGTAATCTGCTCAAACAACCCAAGTCGATCAAATTGGGGAAGACTTTATTTCAAGAACAACTGAACGAAACTTTCGCCAACACGATATACTGTAGGTAAAGGCACCATTTCGAATACAAGCATATTTCTACCGCTCTTGTTTGATGCTCCTCCAAAGCATTTGAACTATCATCATTCAAAACAGAGTGAAAAGCCCTGAAATCCCATTAGCATAATCTATCGCACATAGCACTTTGTATCACTGGAATAAAATCAAACGGTTTACTATTAAACGGCAGTAATCGAGCGGCATAGACCATTAGTACACTGAGCTCTAGTTCCTGTGTTCGAACCCCGTCATTATCATTCTATCTATACACCTCTAAATGGACAACCTTTGTTTACCAGTACGTCAACTATCTAAGTGCTGTACATCAAAAAATATCAGGTACGAAGGCGATTTCGTCGTGTATATGGCAAATGAGCCGTGAACTGAAAAGCTGGGAAGCACTGAACAGCTTTTTTGATCTGCTTGGGTTTCATCAGCAGTGCGAATCCATCAACCCAACTGGGGATCGAATCCGGGACCTCACGGGCAGAACGCAAGCATGCTATCCACTCGGCCACCGGGCAGCTGATCAGGCCGTTTCTCACTTTGAATTTACACGATATAGAAAAATCCATGTTTGCGAGCTTGTTGCGGGTCACAGATCCTGCTCATCTCAGCCTCTGGGTTATGGCTCGGTTGGAAAATTTCATAACCTGACTACTTATTTCAAGTGAGTAATGGAAGAATTGATTCAATTGCAAAGTTAAATTCGTCGTGTATATGGCAAATGAAGCGCGCTATATCGTGTAAATGGAAAGTGAAAAACGGTCTGATCAGCTGCCCGGTGGTCGAATGAGTAGTACGCTTGCGTTCTCCTTGTGAGGTCCTGGTTTCGATCCCCAGCCGGGTCGATGGATTAGCACTACTGATGAGACCCAACCAGGTCTAAACAGCTATCCATTGTTTCTCAGCTTTTCAGTTCACGCTTCATTTGCCATACACACGACGAATTTACCTTTGCAACTGAATCAATTCCTCCATTACTCACTTGAAATATCAAGTAGTGCTACAAAATTAAACTCCTTGTCTCAATGACAACTAGAACAAACAGGAGGGGTAGTTGTAGATGATGATTTATTGCAATAAAAATGTGCGCATTCAAATTTTAGCGGCACACAGGGGTGGTCGCGTTAGTAAAAATCACAGTTACTGGTTTTCTAATTGTTCATTGGTTTGCTTCAATAGAATACGATACACAAAATATTGAGTAAGAAATCGACCTGGCAATAGCTTTGGTGACTAATAGACGTGTCTCTTTTTTGTCTGTGTAATCCTCGTTCTCAGACATTCTAAAACATGCCAACTGAATTCTTCGCCCTGAGGTAGGAGTGGTGGCGGAGCAGTGACATTTTTAACCAATTCATTTCATAAATTATCGATCGATCTGATGGAATCAAACCCTAATATGAATCAACCATATGTACTGATCGGTTTCTGTGATATTCTAGTCTGTGGAGTGCAACCAAGTGGCCAGGTTCGATTCACCAAATAGAATCATCTTATCTACCTCGATAAGGCACAATCAGTTGCATTCATTTCAATGCATGATCAAAGACATGTATTGTATAAAACAATCTAGCAGGCTTGCTGTTATCTTTGAAACAATATTCACTGTATTTGGATAGCACAAAAAGCCCCACGCAAGTGGGTGACACTGTACGATTATCATCCAAATGGACTGCGTGTTGCGAGAAAAACATGCCCCTTCCCTGATGCGAACATCAGTGTGATTCAATACGCACCTTATTATAATAAATTGTCAAGTGAATAAGTCCGCATAGTCACAAGCATTTGCTATTCGCTTATTGGAATCAGAACATGAAACAGAAAACCACATACTATCTAATAGATTAGGCGCGCCGAATCCAAGCCGGGATATCTACCATCCAGTTCGAGTGGTACTGGCAAGGATCGAACCTCAGACCCCGAGGAATGTTAGACACAGAGACTTAAACCGTATAAATCACTCTGCAACTCAATCCACAAGGCTTTCTTCAACAAGATTCGTCAGTGAGGTACTGTAGCAAACTCGGTCTCACAAAAACCGTAATGCATAATTACTAAAAGAAATTTGATCCATACTGTTGTGTTCCGGTTGGCCCATTCAATTTATTTGAATAACTATAGACATTGTTTTATACTTTATACAGTTAACCTCATGTTTCACGGTTTAAGGCCCGGCAGGGGAACACCAATTGTAACACAGAAGAAATAGCTTTCCAGTTCGCTTTGTCCGTCATAAACTTTTATCCTACGTGTCGCTCATGTGGGAATTAAATCCAGTAGGCATCAATAACATTAACTGACTTTATTTTATCGGATTATATCGCGTGTTGTCAGCTTCCAAGCATCCGGTTCAATGATTGTTTCATGCGTATAAAATGAACTATTATAATTTTTCCACAATCCATTCAACATTGTTTTTTTGATATTGGAATTAGATAAATTTCTATTAATCTACCGTCGACTGAATGCGTATCAAAATGAAATTATATTTCACACTGTGTGTCAAACAGTCACGGTACAATATTCTGTTTCACAAAAGTAGTTGAGTAGTAGCAGAGTAAAATATGTTACTTTGTAACGGCAATGCTGCTTTCTTAGTAATCCACAATAAAGCACTTTATTTTCCCAATCCCTATTCATATCTGCATGTGTCTGCCTGTTATTTTAATGAAGAGAGGCTTTTCGAGACCGATTAGGACTGTACAATGTAGCCTGATTAGCTGCCCCCTATACACTCCAATATGATAGAGAAACTAGTCACAATATAGCATACTTGCTTCGCCGTCGTCATAACAACCCAGGGTCAAATAAAGGCTATGGAACAGGTGATCAATAAAGGTGGGCAATCAAACCATTTTGGATAGTTTTAGTTGAAGAACGAATAGACCATTAACTCATGTGTACAGAAGCGTTCGTGAATACAGAAGATGCCTAGGGCAAATAAATGCCCTCTATCTCTTTGGATGAACGAACCAGCGCGAAGCGTTAATCAACTGTGCTGAGAAATCTTCGTAATGTTCGAGCACTAATGTCCAATTTCACTCCACGCGTTGAATAAAAATGACGACAGCTGGTAAAAGTCAATTAAAGCTACTGTTCGCATCACAATGACCAATGATTAACAGTTTTTTTTACTCGCCGTGCTGTAATCACAAGGATCTGTTATTGAGGTCCAGGACTCCATGACTTGGTCCCTGGGAGGTTAGGTTGACTACCCACAGGGAGTTCAGAACCTGTTATTTGTCCGCACATGCTTTGTTGCATGCATTGACTATTGACACTGTCAATTCTTCAGTGAAATATTACAACAGGAGTAAAAAAATTGCGTAATTTTCGTAGAAAACCATATCAAAAATGATTAATTGGAACTAGTTTTTACTGTGACCGGTTATACGAAAACATTCGGACAATTTCTGGAAATAGCCAGACATCATCTGTATGTTCACGTCGAGGTCTGAATATCCAAGTATGCTGATATTTGTTTTACGCGGACTGTAGCTGTTCGCGTGTCAAAACCAGTTCACTGGGATTCGTTGGCACGTTGTTACACTCGCTTGTCTTTGTCGCCCTTGTGCTTCAACGCAACTGTACGTCAAATCGTGCCGATGCATCCACTGTAACACACTGCTTCGATATATGTCTGTTGCAGCCACAAGTGTTCTAGTTAAATCCGGTCTTTGCTTGGTTGCGCGCCAGTGATGGAACCCATTAAGAATTTCGCTACTACTGGTCATAATGGACGTACTGCAAACCAATGACACCTTGAAACCGTGGTTCGGGGGAGGTAGACTAAACATGAACTTATTGGAAGACCTCCGTAGATTACGTAACCGTACAGTTCTCGTCATGGTTACCGAGAGAGAGAGACCGAGTTTTTCTGGTAACTTTTTCAGGGCGCATGAGTTGTCATCATCATCATCATCATCATCATCAGAATTGTGAATTGGCAAGTTTTGATCGGAAATTATTTATCTTCCAAGCCAGGCAATGAACGGACAAAGTGTTTCACATCAACACTTCAGATAACAGCCAGTCGGTGAATGTAACCATCATGAAACCCCGAAGATCATGAATTTGAATACGACCACTGATGCCTAAGTTTTCCACTTGTATCTTTTTCTTTTACTTCTTTTTATAAATATATAAAGATTCACTTTTCTAGAAGTAAGAAGCGACCAATCAAAGGGATTCTATACAACACACAGAAAGTGAGGAAATCAAACGCTGGCGATTGGATTCAAACATGTCTTTCGGAGCGACAAATTGATGAACTTAAACGTCTGGCTACGATTACCGAGGCGGTTTCCTCTGGGAGCCTCTTGGTTTATCGCTTTCTTGTTCAGAAAATCAGACTGGACAATTTTCTGAACAATGAAAGACAGTAAAAGAACATTGAAACAGGTTGGGTGAACTTAAGAGGCTGTGCAAATAAGTGAAAAAGAAGGTGAAG